TCTGAAGGAGTTTCTGCAGAAAAGCGTCGCTTTTCTGAATCCGATTGAGCTGAGCTGCAGTGAAACCGGTATCTCCGATGGTAAGAATCGGCGCGTCACTGTTGTTTTTCCGGATTCTGCGAGCCCGGCGCGTTTCAATCTGAAGACACGAGTAGATGGAATCGAATCCCGGTTCAAGTCTGATAACATTTGAAACCCCTCTGTCTATGTCATCGGGTTCCGCGAAGTCATCGAACTCGCTGATGGGGACGGCTCTGCTGAGAGCATCGATTCCGACCATCATTGGGTCCGTTCCCTTCACATGCTCTATCGACGAGACATTAAAACGCGTTAATCGTTGTATTAAATTAACGACGCGTACTGGAAGCGATTTCCGCATTCGTTTCTCCTCAAGGACCTTCTGCAACGAGAAATGGTCGCTGACCACTGTGACTGGTTGAAGATAAACCTGATCTTCAAAGTACTCGAGAGCACAAACGACCGCTGCCAGCTCGATATATCTGGAAGCTAGCTTCGCTTCCGCGCTAACGAGTGCCCGTGAGAAGTATCCGAGCGGTTGTAAGTGCCCAGATGGTAACTTTTGATGCAGTGCTCCGGCAATGGCTTTTGTGGATCCATCGGTCACAAGAACCAAAGGCAGTTCTGGGTCTCGATGTGCGAGCTCTGTTGCCGCCGCCAAGTTGAGCTTGAATTTTTCAAAGCTCTCTTGATGCACTGGAGTCCATGTAAAAGGCTCTTTCGAAGGAGCGCACAGCTTGTGTAGGGGCTCTAGAATCGCGGATGCGTCCTTTATAAAGTGGCGATAGAAAACTCCTAGACCGATAAAGGAACGCGTTTGTTTTCTCGATTTCGGCCGCGGAAAGTCAAGTATTGCCTGAACTTTTGACCGAATCGGCGCGACACCCTTCGATGTGACTGTAAAGCCCAGATAATCAAAGGAACTAGAACATATGAAGGTCTTTTCAACCTTTAAAGTCACACCACATTCCTTCAGCTTTTTGAGAACCCGCTCAAGTGCTTTCAGATGATCTTCGAACGATTGCGAGAGAATAAGCAAATCGTCCATTAAGATCATGACTTCAGGGTCGTCCTGGAAAATGCGGGACACAGCCCTGGCAAAGCAACTTGGACTGTTCCTTAGTCCAAATAGCATGCGCTGTGCTTGATATTGCTTGTCCCCGTAGCTGAATGCGCACTTGTGAGTATCCTCGGAGAACAACCTAATCTGGTTAAAGGCTGAGCAAATATCTGAAGAGGACACCCACAGATTTCCTTTTGCCTTCGCAAATGTCTCTGAGACTCGAGTCATCAGCGATTTTAGGCACGGAATGGGCCAGCGGTCAGGGATAGTCTCCAAGTTAAGGGCCCTCGCATCCAAAATTGGACGCGCAGACCCATCACGCTTTGCGATAAAAAAAAGCGGCAAATTATACCGGCTCGCGCATTCTTTAATGATCTTGTTGTCGAGCCATCTCTTGATAACTTGGTCTCCTTTTTCCCTGATCGCCTGTCTCGGAGCTCGCGGCTTCTCGTAGATCTCGGCATTTTCGTCTTTCAAATGAATACGAAAAGCCGTGTTACGCAAAAGCCCTATGTCGTCGGGACAAGTACTGAAAGCGGTCCTCTCTTTACTGAGTACTCCGAGTACTTGTGATTTCTGAGCAGCCGTTAGTTTTTCGCCAAGTTTGACGTTTTTATACGCATCGCTCTTGGATGGTGTATAACGGAGCTCCCGAGAAAGCAGGTGCTCTTTAAACTCCGAGTCCTGGTCGTCACTACTGTACAAATGGATGAGCTCATTGCAGCGCAAGTTTCCGCCTGGATCCTTTTCCATGTGAAATCCCCTGGCGATTGGAATGCCCTTGGGAATCTCGATTTTCGATCCAGTGGTGTTCTGAACTAGCACCATGAGCGTTGGATCTGGGTTGTACGTAGCTTCGACGACTGTCAGGTTATTTTCAAAAAGAAATCCCTTATCATCAGGACCGACAACAACACATCCCTCTTCCTCCCTGATTGGACACTCGACGGGCACGGGAGTGATTCCGAACGCCTCGATTGTTATATTGTTCACTGAATTAAGGCGTATGTCTGTGCCATAATGAACCAGCTCGGTAGTGTCTTGATCGAGAGTGATCAGGTTGTTCGCCTTATCGATAACGACTCGGTCATAATCGGATAAGCCGATGATCATGTCATACGACATTTGGGGGTAGATGTAGAATGTTATTTGCCTAACTCGACCTCCGATCGATACTGGGAGCGTTATTTGCGATTTGATTTGGCATTTGGAACTATTTGCGACCCGAATTTGAGCGTTGGTTTTGACCGGTGGATGAGTTGAAGTAAATTTATCTGCAACTCGGGGATGAATTAACTGACAGTTACAGCCACTATCGGCAAGTGCAGAAAATTCTTGGCCATTGATGGAAACGCGAAAATGGGGCAGAAAAGTTGGGGAGCTGACAGTGTGAACCTCGGGCACTTCCGGGCCTAGTCAATGGTTATTTCTGGCCGAGTACGGACAAGCAGCGGGGAAGTGTCTCGGAGGGTAACCCTCCGAGTTGAGTGGGCAGTGGTGGCATCGAGGCTTCTGACTACCCCGAGGCTTCTGGGGCTTGTCATCAGAGCGAGAACTGGGTGGTGCACTCGACTCCGCTGCATTGACCGATTTTGTATTGAGAGCCTTGAGCTGCGCTAGAATAGCAGTGAGAGCACTCGCGTTTTCTTCGTTGCTCTTGTCGAGTTTTTTCTCAAGGCGGTCCATTCTAAGCTCAGCCTCTCTAAATCGATCATTTCCGCCGCGCATCTGTTCCAGTGCTGGACACGCACTCATATAGTGCCCAGTTCGGCGACAGAAGTGGCACTTAAGGGGACCCCTGGCAGCGGCAGCATTTACATCATAACCTTCGAAGTCATCGAAGTCGTCAACGACTTCGTCGATCGAGTTGACCGACGCACCCGGGGAGCCAAACGCGCTTGTGAGCGTTTCAAGCAGGTCCGTGATCTCGTACAAGTCACAAGTCTGGTTCGTAGATGACCAAGCTGTTATAAACGACATGTACATTTGTCTGGGTAGGATCTTTTTCAGATTGTTCTTCAAGGTCGCTCGCTTGAACTCAGGCGGCAGATAGGTAAAGCCACTCTGTGGATTTTCAAGGAGCACTTGAAGTCTGTAAAAGGCGGCCATGGTAGATTCATTGGGCCCGCGCTCAAGATTTGCGAGCTGGGATGCCACTCGATCCTGGTTAAGCCCGAGACGCTTTCGCACACTTCGCTCTGCGTCAGTAAATGAGCAAAGATTCGAGATACCGGCCTGCTTGCCTAGTTCAGCGGAGAGTTTTAATCGCAGAACAAATAATTTGTCAGCGGAGCTCCAACCATAAACATCGGCTGCTTTCGCAATTTCCGCAAGCAGAGTTTCGACTTCAGTAACTGATCGCTTTGTCACTGCTCGAATGTCTCTTGATTCTTTAGCAAGTGTGTTAACTCGCGATTTTCCGTGGTCGGCTTGCGCAAAATTATTGAAAGAGTCCCTTCTAAGGTCGGCTCTGGTGGTGCTACGTGGTAGTTTCCGCGCCTGGTCTTGTGGAAAATCACTAGGATAGGAGTTCGGTGACAATCGAGACTTTTTTTGTTTTAATTCGTCATCGATGTACTCGTCGGAAAGAGCGTCACGGTCATCCTGGTCCTCAACGTGATCTCCTGTTTCAGATGGGATCGCCCCTTGCATGTTCACAAGATAGGTTGAGTCGTCTACTGTTCTACGACAACCGTTTTCTTGCGCAAAATCATGAAGCCGTTGGAAAATTTCATCATCGGTTCCCTCGGGGTCAAGTCCCTTTTTACGTAAAACAGCGCGAATCTCGCTTCGGCTCAAGTTGGTAAGCTTCTTCAAAGTCATTTTCAAAATATGAAGAAGAAAAAATTACCCGTTACTTTACTAGCCGATTCGTGAAATTTGGCGTCGATGAAACTTTGGATTTCGATTTTTCAAAATTCAGAAAATATCAACTTTCTAAAATCTGATTGAAAAAAAAAACCGCCAAAAATTTTGACCTTCCTCAAAAATTTGACCAAAAATTAATTTTTCCGAGTGATAACTTTTGAAATTTTACTTTGGAAAAAGTTTGACTGTTTCTCCCAAAATTGAAATTTTTAATATTCAAAAATATCACTCAAAAAAAATAAGACCTTTCAAAAACCTCTCGTACCTTTTCGCCCGTTGTAGCGCGCAGTCAGCGTCGTCGGAGAAGTTGGCGTGGTTGATGGAGTTGTTGTGGGTGCTGCAGTTGGTGGCGCCGCGGAGAGCAGTTGGCCGGTTCTGGAGCTGGAGTGAAGTTTGGAAGTTCGCAGTTGGAGTCCAAAGATCGTAATCGGAATTCGTATCGTGACGTCTTCTTCTGTAAATCTCTAGGTTGACTGGAAACTCTTCGTTTGCGTATTCGAAAAAAAATATCCTTTTCAGTCACCAGTGTAATGTTCCACTGGTAACTTTCTGCTGAGTCAGGCAAGATGCAGCCGCTAGCTCTTGCAAATATAGACTGGTTTATTTGACGGCCTGTAATGCATAAGCGAATGTTTTGCTGGCAAGCTGATTCTACCAGAATTTGCTCATTTTGAAGCGGGCTTTCTAATGCGCCCAAAACCAGCTTCCTACGTAAGCTAAAAAAAAAAGTAGATAGAGGCCAAAGTTGGCGAAATCGGGGGATCCCACCATCAGCTTTTTTTAAAGAACCAAATTACGGAATGTCATATTTTTGCTTCCAGAATCGGATTCTACAGGTCAAAAGACAATCTTGAGGCCTCATTTTTAGGGGTCTCTCTCGACTCTTACACCCTTGAAATATTATTATTTTAATTAATAAAAGAATTAAACTGTTTTTCTAATTCCTCTTGGAGCGATTACTCTGTCAGATAGCGGCAGTTATCTGCTTCTTTGTGACGTTTATTTTTTATCTCTGTTAATTATAATTTTCCCAGGTGCTTCAATTACTTACATTGTAAAAGAAAAAAGTGTTGTCAAAATCGTTATTTTCATCTCTTTCTCGTTTTCTTCTCTTCTCTGCAGAAAACAATTCCCCCTTTCTCGTCTTTTTTGTTCAGCAGAATCGGATTTCGGACGATTATTTGGCAGATGATAGGCAGTCAGAATCTCTTAATTGATGTGAAAAGACCGCACACTTACTACGGTATAAAAATGCAAGCTCGAAACGACCGGCTGAGGGCGCAATTGGAACAACTTCAACTTGCATCAATAACTGATCAGGACGCGTTTAGATGAAAAAAAATCCGTTTTGGGAAACTTTGAAAATCATGGGAAGATGATTTTCGTCACTTGGCATTTTGTACATTTTGTAAATAAAACTTTGAACTCGAAAAAATTTTGATGAAAAATTTAAATCTGAAATTTGTCGATGAAATTACGAGTGAAATTTGCCTCTAAAGAGCAATCACCTTTTTATCATATTTCAACAGAAAAGACTTTTTGAATGAATTCACGAAATGAACATGAGAAATATAAATACAGTCCGTCAGAGACCGGAGCGAATCCAAGTGTGGAGACAGATTTACCGAAAAAGAATGAAGATTGTTGGTTTCAACGCATTTTTCATCTTTTCATTCGGAACATCTGTCGAAAATCAACTTGCTGTGAGCGTTAATTATTTATCTCCGGGATAATTTATCCTGGATAAAAATACCCTCCAAGTGTTCTATACACTCATTTTTCTTGCAACAAATAAACCTTTAAGGTTTATTATAATATAATAGTGAGTAGCAATTTGCTATCTGAACCCGAATAGCTGTTCCTCAAAAGTGGGTCTCTTGAAAACACTAGAATTTAGAGTAAATTTGGCAAGAGTCAATTTGGCTCGACATTTACTCACCCAAAGATTGAAGAGTCTCTTGTTTCGAGCAAAAATGGATTCCAAAGTCAGAATTTATACTCGACAGAAGAAGACTTGTTTATACAATTAATTCCTTGAAAATGATATTTATTCAGATCGTCAAATAAGTGTGGCAAAGACGTAGATTGATCATCCTTTCGTCATAAATCAGGCATCACAAGTCAAGATCAGCGTTTGGAAGGCTGCGAGGGTCAGATTCTTCTCTCCATGATCAGCTGAGATCAGCCAAGTGAGCCGGGAGAGAGAAAAGTAATTGCAAGGGGGCCATCATCGTTTCTTAGAAAGGCTGAGTAATCATAAATATCGAAGAAATGAGAAAGACATGTGTTCAAAAATGCCCACAATCGCCTGAACCTAACTTTGAGAAACAACTGAATTTTGTACCGTCACTGCTATTAAAATTTATTCTGGCCACTCTAGAACGAAACATAATTAACCAAAGCCTACTGAGATGTGGAAGTTCGAACGAGAAATAATTGATTACCCGTTGAGTCGGATTAAATACAGTATATTCTGAGTACTGAATATTAAGTTGAGTGAGATTGGAGTGAGTTATGTAAGTTCAAACAGAGTTAATCCTGTTGTAAATCAACCTTTTTCCTGTCAGTGGAAAAGCGATTCAATCAGCGCGGCGATAGACTTGGAAACGCTTGAAATTTGACGTAGAAACGTGGCTGGAACGTTCAGGGGAAGATTCGACGTACGAATGATTTATTTTCTCACGTTCTTGAATCTTACACTTTTGTTCAGTAGTAGATATTCAAATCAGGAGCGAATGAATAGTTGAAAAAGCTGCAAAAAATACGTTTTACAAGTTGTTCTTTTGTAAGACTCATTAACAGCATGTTTTGGAATCGTATGACTGCACATGTGTTAATATTCTAAACTTGTACGATGAACCATGTAACCAGCTCGTCTGCGAAACTAGTGCAGCATTACTTATGCTCTAAAGATCGTCTGGCAGAAATTATCTTTGTTCAACATCAATAAAATCGTGGATCTTTGATTTAACCCCACATTGGATCAAACTCCATGTTTAATTCCGATAATGGAACCTCTATTCTCTCTGTACGAGTCCATTCCAAAAATACCACTTGATTCAGAGTAAAAGATCGAGAGAACACAAAGTTTCGTGTGTTCCTTGTTTCAAGCGCTTTCCTGGGCAATGAAAACACTCACATCAGCCCAGAGGAATGTCACGGCACAGGCGATCGCGGCGTTTGAGACGAGATTGATTGAAATCAACGAGGATCCAAAAATGATGTGCGATAGGAAAATGCTCATGTATTCTTCTATGTAGTCGGCTATCTCGATTGATGACATTTTTAACGCGACAATTACTCTAAAAATCATTTTCTTCGTCCTTTTCTTAATTTTTATTACTTACATATGATAAAACAAAGCAGAAAAAACCGCCATGAGTCATGGCCCATGACCAAAAACACACTCCATTTTCTCCATTTCCCATTTCTGACCGACCCAAGAACAAACATAATCAAGGCAAAAAGCTCAAGAAACAAATGCGCCCACGAAAAAGCCAACGATTTACTTTCTATCCACGGTGCCATTTTTATTCTCTCTATTTTAGATGAGAAAATCTCCGTGGAATTTTCATTTTGAAATTTTGAGACTGATATTTACTGAGTCGAGTAAATAATTGGAAGTTCAAATGGTTACGTAACGCATAATTCAAATTTGTGGCCCTAAAAAGGGCCAGTTTTGGGTTGTTTTTTTCTTCTTATCCACCGAAGCCATAGAGAGTTCGTCCCTGTCGCTTGAGCGCGTAAACGACGTCAAGGGCAGTGACAGTCTTTCGCTTGGCGTGCTCGGTGTAGGTGACGGCGTCGCGGATGACGTTTTCAAGGAAGACCTTGAGAACACCTCGGGTTTCTTCGTAAATCAGTCCGGAGATTCGCTTAACACCGCCTCGTCGAGCAAGTCGTCGAATAGCTGGCTTGGTGATGCCCTGGATGTTGTCTCGAAGGACCTTTCGGTGACGCTTGGCGCCTCCCTTTCCGAGTCCTTTTCCTCCTTTGCCTCGTCCTGACATCTTTTTTACTTTTTGTGAAAATTGAATTTGATGAGGTCTGGTCGCGACAGGCGGGTTTAATTTGCTCGGGCCACTCGTGCGGGAGACAACCCAAAGCCGCGCGCTGGCAACGGTTCAACGCGCGCAGCAACGGATTATCGATTTGACGCCCTGGAAAAGCCACGCCCGGGAAATTTCGCTTTACTTCTTCAAATAATCAAGGATCGATTTACCTTTCTTACGAAAAACATATCTTTACTTCATTGAAATTTTTAAATAGAACTTAAATTTGAAAAAAAATGAATCATATTATTGTTATATCATATAACTTATATATGATATAAGTTATATGATATAACTTAGATGGACATTTATCGGCTTAAAAAACACTGTTTTTAAAAAAAGAATCGACTTCTCACTTATTTTTTGCATTGTTTCTTTGGTGAAATAAGTAAACACTTAAAAATTTTGCAATCATTATATTCTGTCCGCAATAAAGTAGATATAAAACGTTTTTTTGTTCATATTTTATTCAATAATTCATAGCATAAATATTTGATTGTAAATACGATTTTAAAACTTTACATCATTGAAATCCATCATAAACAGTCACTCACGGCTTCATTTTAAAAATACGATTTTCGAAGGTATAAATTTCTTTTGATCAAAGATCTTTTCGCCCTGATAAGATAGTTTCGCCCCTAGGTCAATCCATCCCGCCTAAAATCGACGAACATCCCATTTTCCAGCTGAGAAACAAGGCCAGCGCGCGGCGGGGTTGTCTCCCGCACTGTCGGCAACTGATTTTCGCGCCAAGCGCGGCGGGTATAAAACGCGGCGCCGAGCGCTACTCCTTATTCATTTTCAAAAAGCAAAAACTTGAAAAAAGAACAGCAAAATGGCTCGAACCAAGCAAACCGCCCGAAAGTCGACCGGAGGAAAGGCTCCCCGAAAGCAGCTTGCCACCAAAGCCGCTCGCAAATCGGCCCCAGCCACCGGAGGAGTGAAGAAGCCCCACCGATACCGACCTGGAACCGTTGCTCTCCGAGAGATCCGACGATACCAGAAATCGACCGAGCTTCTCATCCGAAAGCTTCCCTTCCAGCGACTCGTCCGAGAAATCGCCCAGGACTTCAAAACCGACCTCCGCTTCCAGTCTTCCGCCGTCATGGCTCTCCAGGAAGCCTCCGAGGCTTACCTCGTCGGTCTCTTTGAAGACACCAACCTTTGCGCCATCCACGCCAAGCGTGTCACCATCATGCCAAAGGACATCCAGCTGGCCCGTCGAATCAGAGGAGAACGAGCTTAAACGCGACTTCAAACTCGATCAAAAAATGGCCCTTTTCAGGGCCACAAATCCTTAAAACTAGCTCTGACTTCCTTTTAGCAGTTTTTGATGTATTCGACTTTCTCTAGAATTTTGTTTTTGGTGGAATTGATTTTCAAAGCGAAAATTAGTTTTAACCCTTCAAGAAAAATGCTAACCGAAATTATCTTTTCCGACGGCTCGTCTGGTACTTATGAAAATTCCTTCTTAGAGGAGAATTATCCCTTTTTCAAAACTTTATTCGAATTTGACGAGGCAGAGTCAAGGTTTGATTCGTAAAAAAACAAAAACAAACGTGAGTTTTCAGTGAAACTGAAAGTTTTTTCGACGATTTGGAGCCCTGCACAAAAGTTGCTTTGCCGATGAAAATGGTCACATTTGAAATTCTGGACTTTTCGGAATGGGAAGTTGAGCCTTTTCTTGATTTTGTCGGCATGGTAAGACAGTCAAACTCGCTGGAGCTGCTGAGGAATGAGATTTTCTACCTTCAGGCGAGGATTCAAAGGGATTGGAAATCAGCTTTTCTTTGATTTCTTGTTCATTTTTAATCAATAAGAATCCAAACTTATGGTTGAAGATGTGATCAAAGACGTTTTCAGCGACTCAGACTTGATAAAAGAATGGTTGTTCGAGGAAACAGTCAAAGTAGCCAACACGATCGAAGATGTGCTCCGTCAAATGACCCTTTTACACATGAACAAACATCTGGTCAAAATCGGATATGGATCTGTTCCGGATGATTTGAGGCGCTTCGTTCCAACCAAACTGCCAGTTGTTGACCCGAAATTTCGATATGTTAAGTTTACTCCAAGAAAGGCTTCCCTAATTTTTCGCAGGAGTAGGTTAGGGTTAGGAATCCTAACTTAGGATTGGTAGGGGTGAGCCCAACAAAAGTGATGAGTGTCAAGTGTATACTTTCTTCAAGAATAAGAAAATGGTGAACTGCGGTATCGAAATTCTAATGTAAGAAATCCTCCCTAAAAATGAAATAACTTGAAAAATTCAGGATTTTTGAACGAGAAATTTTCGATTTGCCAATGAACTGCTACAGGTCGCGATCAAAGGAATTCTCATTCAAATTAATGGATCTTCTACCCGATTATTACAAAAACTACGATATTCTCTTCAATCAACGGCGAACGCTGCGCGAACTTTACTCTCGCTACCCTGCGAAAATCGAGGAAGTAGATACCAGCAGTTACAGTGGGAACTCTCTTGCTTTTCTTGAAAACACGGAGGCGAAACAGCTTTGGAAAGTGAAGATCAGGTTTTGGAAGAAACGAGCTTTTGTGAGAAATGGAATCAAGGCAAGTCAAAAAGTTTGGGAAGAAGATAAGCTGGTTTTTCTGCTGTACGAAGACGACGAATCGATTAAATACATTCCCTCCGGCGAATTTTTAAAGAAAGATAAATTCGTTCCTGCACCTTTCTATGGAGGTTATTAATAAATTTTTGCATTTTCTGAAAATGGGGTTTTTGTTGATATCGATTTGTGGCCCTAAAAAGGGCCGTTTTTTGAAATTCCACATGGTGAAATTTTTTTATTTGTCGCCAGTCTTCTTGGGGAGGAGGATGGCTTGGATGTTGGGGAGAACACCACCCTGGGCGATGGTGACGCCGCCGAGGAGTTTGTTCAACTCTTCGTCGTTTCTGATGGCGAGCTGGAGATGTCGAGGGATGATTCTGGTCTTCTTGTTGTCTCGAGCGGCGTTTCCAGCCAATTCGAGGACTTCAGCGCTGAGGTATTCGAGGACGGCGGCGAGGTAGACTGGGGCACCGGCTCCGACTCGTTCAGCGTAGTTGCCTTTTCGGAGCATTCGGTGGACTCGACCGACGGGGAACTGGAGACCAGCTCGGACCGATCGGGACTTTGCCTTCGCTTTTGCTTTAGCGCCTTTGCCTTTTCCGGACATTTTTCACTTTTTTTTTTGTTTCAACGAAAAATTGAATGTCGACTTGGGCTTCGGGGCGGTATTTAAAACCCTCGCTGCGAAACGAGCTGAGAAAGAGGGCGGTAATGAGTAGGAAACACCTAGGCGGGCGCGAAAAATCGTTGGTGCTCCTTACCGCCATCTTTCTCAGCTTGTTTCTCGGCGCGCCAAATATAAACGGGCACGCGGCGCAGATTTTCACTCAAACTCGTTTTGACTCAAAAACTCACTTTTTGAAAAATGGCAGCTACCAAAGGTTCCAAGAAGGCGATCGTCAAGAAAGCTCCCCCAGCCGGAGACAAGAAGAAGCGAAAGGCCAAGCGAAAGGAGTCTTACTCCATCTACATCTACAAGGTCCTCAAGCAGGTCCACCCCGACACCGGTATCTCCTCCAAGGCCATGTCCATCATGAACTCCTTCGTCTCCGACATCTTCGAGCGAATCGCCAACGAAGCCTCCCGACTTGCCAAATACAACAAAAAATCCACCATCTCCTCCCGAGAAGTCCAGACCGCCGTCCGACTCCTCCTCCCCGGTGAATTGGCCAAGCACGCCGTCTCTGAAGGCACCAAGGCCGTCACCAAATACACCAGCTCCAAGTAAACTTTTTTACTTGGCTGGCTACAAAACGGCCCTTTTTAGGGCCACAAATCTTGCTTTCTGGTCTCGCCTTCTGGGTAAAATAGAACGGAAAAGATCATTCAAAAAAGTTTATCTTAGTTTTTCATTTCCCCGGATTTAAATGGCTAATTAGCGCCCTTATGATCTTTCCATCAATTATTCAAGGTTTACCCACTCAAGGACGCTATAAAAAGAAGTGAAATGAGTGAATATACCAAGAAAATAAAAAAGTGAAGTCAAAATGCAGCTTTTTCTCACAACATTTTCTCTTTTCACCCTTATTTCTTGCCAGTTATTTCCGGCACACTTCCGACCAAAAAGACTTGAAGAACGAAATCATCTGAAAGGCAACTTTCATAGGACTGCGAGAGGAGAAGCCCCTGCTGGTAATTGAACTGATCGTTTGTTATGGTTATTTTTCACAAATTATTTTTCAGCAAATGATGCGATTTTGGATCATCTTTTTGACGAATACTTCGGCTAAAGAAAACAAAGTTCAGGAACAAAATGATGCTGAAAAAATTTCAGAAACAATAATAACTTGCTTTTGCTGATTAAAAAAAATTATAAATAAAAATTAATTGAAAATGCCTTTCGGTAAATTCGGAAATTCAAAATTTCTCATTCTGAAATCAACGAGGAGTCATTCTTATACATTGAGTCCATTGGCTTGTGTGGAAAATTTCCACCAATAAGAAGTTTGGATTCGGCTAGCCGGCAAATGAGCAGCCGAGAAGCCACCCACGTAAAATTTGTCAATTTTTTTTTAATTCATGACATCAACTTTTCAGTTGAACTCATTTTTTAACGATTATTGCCAAGTTTCAGCGCATCTGTAAATGAACTGATAATCAAAATAAACCTTGAACTTAATCCGCGCGCTTTTTTGGCTGCATTTTCAACTATATTTCGTTTCTTCAAATGACGTTTTGCTAAACCAACATAGTGATAGCGTTTCAACTTTGAGGCAGAAAAGTGGAGCAAGCAAACGACCGGAGAGGGGGAGATGAAAGTTGAGAAAATTCAAAAAAACTCTTGAGATTCGCCGTGGCAGGGCGAGTTGGACATCAAGTAGGCCACGTTCATGGATACTCTCTTTTCTTTGCAGGGAAAAAGGAACAGTTCTTATTTTTGATATTTTTGATATTTTTGAATAGTTTGAATCAAGCTTGATTAACAGGATATCCTCCTGGACCTTGCATATACTTTGCTCGTTGTTGAAGATCTAAAATATTTGATAAATATTTTATCAATAAAACAAAATATAAAACACACTCGTTTGGGCAACATCAGGAGTAACTGCGGACTTATTTCCCAGTTTACGGGCTTGTCGAATCGCAAAACAAGACCCAAAGCAACCACAAAAGCAAAATCCAAGAATGCATAATAGTACTAAACCACCAAAGACACTTCCGATGATGAGGGGTACATTTACTTCTTCCTCCATCTCTCTTCTTTTATTCTCAAAATATTCGAAGGAAAGAGTCATTTTTCTCGATTATTTTATGATTTTGCCAGGAAGAGCATTGAGCTGAAAACTTAAAACAACATGTTTTCTTTAGAAAGATTTCCATTGAATGTTTTCGGTCAGAAATACGTCAGTAGTACAGAGGAACAAATTCTAGATTCTTTTCAGTGATTTTATTTCTTTCTTCATAACAGCTCAGCTCTTGTATGAAAAACTTCTTGCGAAAATTTCCAAATATCTTTTTGTTGCCGAGCCCGACGAGATTCAAAGCAGCATCCCGAAATACCATAAAACAAGGCTCCAAGAATGCACAATATTATCGAGATTCTTATGACACCAATTGCTATCAAAGTTACTTTCTCAGTGTCACGGATTTCACTTTGCGTGTTTTCGAAACCAGACTTGATTTCTTCGGAGGAAAAGCCCATTATTCTCGTTTTCAAAAATTTATAATAAAAAATCTTTTATAAGGAATATTTCATTTGTAATAAGAAATGCGTCATTTCTATAAAGAATCGACAGACAAGCATTAATTTTTAAATATAAATAAAAATCTTATTGGTTTCAATTTATCAATCTTAATCAATAATGAGCATTAATCTCTGAGCTTCTAGTCTAGAATAGACTGATCCCTTGAAAAAAATGCTCCTTAACCTTTTTCGTGAATATTCAACGAAATAAATAGTGGCAGATTTTTTTGTTCATTCAGAACTTAAAATCGTAACTGCCAAAAGAAGAATCAGTAACATATTGCAAACCTTATCAGCTTCAAAAAAAAGCATGGCAGCGGATTTCATCATTTAATAAAAATTTTGGTAGACGCTCGTTTTCGTATTATAAACTCGCGCTTATCTTTTTCCGAGCACGTGTGATTCAATTCAGTTATCGAAAACAAGACCGCGTGAGACACGAATTTTCATCTCAACTTTTAACCTTGAAAAATAAGCTTTTTATAAACCCTGTTTGTTCCTGTCTCCCCAAGTTCATCTCTTCCTGAAAGCCCCTAAAGCTTATTTTATTGAAAAAAAGCTATCACATTTCTGATTCCCTCTGATTCTGTTTTGACCTACTGTTCTGTATCTTGTTTATCAAGTCCTCGCAAAATGAACTCTTTCGGGTGGATTTGGGGAGGTAACTCCATCCCCACCTGGATCTTGCGAATCCTTGTCGATGGGACCTTAGTCATCCGACCTTTTCAGGATTAGTAGCGCCAAGGCGTAGCTGAGTACTCGCGCGTGTTCAGGCGGCGCGCGCGAGCCAAAAGAAGGTACCGCGCGCGGTTTACCGTTCCCGATCCCGGTTATCGTCACGCTCTATTGCCCAAGTAAATACGAACAACCCGTTTCTGAAGGGATTTGTTTTGTTGTCTTTTTTATATTGTCGAAGGGGCAGAAGAAGGATCGAGGAAACTAGAGATTTGAATCGTCAATCTTCAGTTTTTTTTTTGTAAAAAAAGGTATTTTTTCGTCATTTACCGATTTTTTTTGCTCCTCAAACGGATCAATTTCAGAATTTTAAAATAATCAAAAGAAAATTTTTGTCAAAAAATTTTTAGAAAAAGGTTGCTTTGTTTTTTCTTCATGAAAAAACCTCTATTTTTGTGCAGTTGGTCTCAGATTTGACCCTTACTTCGGTCAAAGATTGAGGATATCCGATCGGCCGAGTACCAGATATCGCATAAGTCAAATTTAGCCGCTAAGCCGCCGATCTAAGGCTGTGTAATGTGAAAGGATTGGCCTTGTAAGAATTTGAATTAAGAAGGTATCATGCTAATTTTCACGATTTTTCTCCCCCTCGGAAACAAAAAGACGGAAAAAAAGCGAAGGGTTAATATAATAATTTCCTTTTTGATGAGTTGAAAATGATCTGCTACGAAGAAAGCCGCAGTCTCATCCATAAGCCAAACACTGATCCGGATAGAAACGGCTTCCATCTCATAACTAAATTTTGATTTGTAAAAACTCCTCGCCGGATTTTCGCTAGATTCCCTACCAGATCATCTCGGTCTGATAACGGCTCAATTAATCAATACCGTTAATTTATCAGAACTTATTGATATCGAAGAAAGCTCTAAGCTAAAGGGTGTTCATTCGAAAAGAGACGGTTATTTTTTTGTAGTCAGATTAAGGGACTTTGTTTTCACTGTCTTTATTTCAAGCGATTTTTCTTTTCGAATTCGACATCCTTCTAGACCAGGTCATCGCTGGGCTCGACAACCTGTGTTGAAAGCCTGAGTCAGGGTCTGAAAGAACTGAAATGAAAAGCCGCGCAGCGGCTTTTTCAAAGTCGAAGCCGCAAAGCAGCTTCGCCACAATTTATCATAAATTAAAATGGAAATATTAGCGAAGCCGCTTAGCGCGGCTTCGTTTTTGAAAAAGCCGCTGCGCAGCTTTTCTTTTCAGTGATTGAAGACCCTGACTCAGGT